GTTATGCATCTAAGCATCTGTGTTCTTGTGCATGCGGGCGTGTGTATGTGTGTGTGTGTATAATACGATTTCTCCCCAGCTGTTCTATGACCGCAATCCACTCCGCACTACGCTACTGAAGGTTAGCATACAAGGTGTAGAGGTGGCTGCACTGGCTGATGACTCTCTTCAGGGCACCGAGAACGAAATCGCCGAGATGAAGAGGATTGATCCGGAAAGGTTAGTGTGCAACACCCACATAGTGTTGCCACACATAGTGCAGTCACCCAGAGTGCAGACACTCACACTTAATGCAGCCATTCAGAGTACAATCACACACAGTACCGTCACACATAATGCAGCCACTCACACATAGTGTAGTCACACATAATGCAGTCACATTGTACAGTCACACGCAGTACAGTCACACATAGGGTTCAGTGGGAATATCAGACCGAACTGTCTCCACTCCCAAGTTTCCTGCAATAGTTTTATGGGGAATTGAGAACGAAGCCCAACATCTCCTTAGACAAATTCCTCCACTTGCGACCGACTGGCTGGCTGGCTGACTGGCTCATAAATAATAAATACTAGCACCTAATCGACCGAGAGCGAGGAGTGGGGCTGGACTATTTCAACTACTATCGAGTATCCAGTTATGTCGTGAAGTACCATTGAACTGCCCTCTCTCAAATTCAGGCCTGTGACGATTTTTCTACCTGTGGAGCGACATCAGCTTCTTTGAAGAAATACGGCGTTGGACGATGCCTTCACTGTTGTGCATGTGTGTCTGTCTGTCCACCTGTCTGTCGATTTGTCCGTCTGTGTGTCTGTCTGTGTGTGTGTGTGTGTGTGTGTGTGTGTTTCTTGTGTGCATGTGTTATTGTGCTTATAGTCCGTACCCTGATGGTCTCACCTACTCCACACTCTGGGCTAGAAAGATACAAGCGAGTGCAGCCCAGATTGAAGTAAGTGACGCATGTGTAGTGCAGGGAAGCAGCTCTTCAATGTTACAGGCGCTCCTAACGTATTAGTGAATTATGGTGTTGGATGTGCGTGCACGTGCGCGTGTGGATGCGTGTGTGGACGTGTGTGTGTGTGTGTACATGTGTGTACGTGTGTGTACGTGTTTGCCAGGCTAAAGTAATGGCAGCCGATTCTTTGTAGCTCCGGGGGGGATGCTATGTGCTACCGGTATGTGGAGTGCGATTCCAGCACAAGTTACACACAAGTTTATTATAGAGCAATCGACTGACTACAACCTCACGTGTGTGTGTGTGTGTGTGTGTGTGTGTGTGTGTGTGTGTGTGTGTGTGTGTGTGTGTATGTGTGTGTGTACTGACCTCTTCAGGCACGTTTGCGAGACTACTCTCAGCCCCTGGCCATTGTGGATCAGCTAAGTATCTATGGTGGTCTTGTTGGTGCAGAGGAGAATCCCTCAGCTCAGGGTAAGGTGTATCTACAGGGAAACTTCCATATTGCTATACGCTACTGTGGGTATAACATACGGTAGCTGTCTATCCTTCGTCTGCCCTCTTATAAGTTATGTCACCTTTTCACCCCTGAATTTTGCCTTTTTCAAGTACCATCCACAGTATCTCTCTCTCTCCCTCTCTCCTCTCTCTCTCTCTCTCTCTCTCTCTCTCTCTCTCTCTCTCTCTCTCTCTCTCTCTCTCTCTCTCTCTCTCCCTCTCTCATTTTGCCTCTTGTTTCTTTCAGCAATTCGAACGGACACCGTTCCCATGGCATCACCATGGAGCAATGTTACTGTGCAGCGGTCCATGCCGGCGTTGAAATTCTACCACGACATTGATGTTGGTGAGTCCGTGACCATCAGCAGAATGCTGCTGCTACTACTACTACTACTACTACGTACATGCTGATTGGTTGACAGCATATTACAAGGCGGAGGACACGCTGTGTCGAAAACAGTACCCCTGACTAGGGTAGTGAGGGTCCAACCCAGGGCCAGACCCCCGTATGGTTCAAATGCTCGTCAAGACTGGGCCTCTGCCAATCGATGATGGTTGCAGTCAGGAGCACTGTTTTCAACACAGTGCGTGGCCTCCGCCTTGTATAAACATGCCGTCAACCGATGGACATGTTAATCTTCCAAACATGTCTTACATAGCACTACGTACAGATGTGTGTAACACTCATTCTCTCTAAGGCACACAGTTTGTAAGTTGTCCATTCACAAGGAGAAGAAGACCAAGGCAGTGCGAGTATGCTCACAGCTTACCGTGAAAATACCTACGGTGGACTATTAACGTGTATACTAATGATGCGTGATATAGTACCTATGCCACACTAACTTATCCTCCCCCTAACACATATTCACGCCCTCTTTAGTCGAGAAATAGAACAGAAGAAAACAAACTCATTGCGTAACGAAATCAGTAAAACAGGCAGGCAGTCCAGCATTGCGAGCAAGATGGGCTCTGGTCGACTGCTGGGGCGTAGAATACAGCCCGCTGGGATCACAGTAGAGGGTTTGCGGGGCATAATGGGACATCACTGGAACAGCAACAGGCGTACCGTATTTCTCCGGTTATAATTCGCACTTTATAAGTCGCACCCCCATTTTCAGGTTATAGCCATATTGATTTGATATATTGACTTCAGTAGTTAGTCATGCTCGATTGTAAGTCACACCCCCCTTTTTACCCTTGAATTTTAGTGTAAAAAGGTGCGACTTATATTCGGGGAAATACGATACTTATCGAGACTGGAGCAGCTGCAGGTGTTGGATCTTCCAGAGGCGGTGAAGCGGCAATGGCGATGACATATCGTGTGTTACCAAACTAGCTCGTTCACCCCCGTGCAACCACACATCAGCGCAACCTGAACAACCATTATAGGTTGCACGAGTAGATTATCATTATGAATTAGGAGAGCAAAATATGAATTACAAGTCGAAGCAAACCTCCATGACCAACCACCTCTAAAGCCCAAAAAGATCCGCAGAAAATACAAGCTGGCATGCCTGCATGCATGCACGTACAAAGTCATCATACAAGATGTACAACGCTAGCGTATACTACTGATGTACAGAAACACGTGCACAGTCCGCAACAGACCAAGATTCAAAAGATAACGATTCAAAAGTCCGTCACTACGCAAATATATTACTTGAACGAAGAGAATATTGATGAAGCGTAATTATTACTAAAACGGAAAGTACTGCGAAGCAGTTGTACAGTTCAGAAATACTTCGAAGTACAAAGGGGAATTAGACATCGAATCCACTGAGTAACATGTTGTCAAAACAAACAGTTCTTCGTCTTCACGTGACTCATGACATGACTTGCGAGTCGCGAACCAACGGACATAGATGAAAAACTAATTGAGTTATTCCAAACCCGAACAAAAAAAGACACGGCATGCCGCGAGCAACTTCGTGGTGTTGGCGCGCACCGTGTTCACCGTGTTCTCCAAGTCGTCACCTCCCCGTAGCGTGACCTTTGATCTTACCCTATAAAACGTGATGATGTTGTATTATGACTCACAATTGCTATCTGCAGAAGTCTTATGACAATTGAAGATACAGTATGTCTTGGGCAACAACGGAACCCTATGTCGAAAGATGGTATTTATTTTCATGTCTTGAAGATGAATTGACCGTACGCATTATGACTGCTGAAGAGACCGGATACGAGTTGCGACCACTCCTCCTGCACCCTGATCGTGTAGACCTGACGCCAATGGAGGTTGCGGAATACACCTGCCGCGTTTCAAATCTTGTGTTGGCGACAGGTGAGAGGCGGCAACGCTTACCGAAGATTTCCGTCGCTGGTGTTGAGGATTATGGTTATGGCAGCGTAGCAAGACACGACAACGGTGTGGTCCTCCGCTGCTGGAACGCGATGGCCGGAGGGCGTGTTACAACGAGATGAGGACAGATGCTGAAGTCGGCCTGAAGGGCGTAGAGGACACGTTTGCCAACGGCGGCCGTGAAATCAAATCAATAGAGCTGCTTGACGCCATTAGGGATTTGAACAAGCGCCAAGTCTTCCGCACCGACAAGGCAATGGAGAAATTCCTAAGCCATGCAGTGCAGATGACAGTCGTCCCAACACGCTTTACCAGAGTAGTAGTGCGCGGCGGCACAATCGCCATTGACAATGCTGGCAGTCAGTCTAAGATGCCGGAAGTGATCGTCGACACGATCGAGTGCAGAAAGAGAAAAGCGTCGGACGACAATGATGATTGGGTTGACCCAGTGGTCAGGATTCAGGCTTCTGAATCGTCACAAGTATATGAAGTGTCGAGGAAGAAAATCTTGGGCAACTCCTTCTGCACATGTCTTTGAAGAATGAACTTCTATCTTCTCCTTTGTACAGCTCTCTCTCTCTCTCTCTCTCTCTCTCTCTCTCTCTCTCTCTCTCTCTCTCTCTCTCTCTCTCTCTCTCTCTCTCTCTCTCACGAAAAATGATCCGAAAATTGAAAATACAGGTCAAAATACTGCAAAACTACCGTAAAAGTCCGTAAATAAGTACCTGCCCGAAAGAATATCCCCTTCATTCTTTTGGCTCTGTCTGGTGAAGTCAAGTCAAGCCCGATAAACATACTGCCCGAAATAAGTACCGGCACGGTGTGCACATGCAGCACGTAGCATGTACATGTACATCGACATGAAAATGACTTCTTCACTACACACAAGTCAGGTCCGAAAGTTAGTTCGTGCCCGAAAGTCAGTACCCGCCCGAAAGTTAGTACGGATGTGGTCACTAAATTCAAAAGTAAATACGTACTTATTTACGGACTTTTACGGTATGAGTTCTCATTAGGGGCCGTTCGTAATTATCAATATTTTTCACGAAGAGAAAAAGTTTCGTATATGGGTGGGTGGGTTGAGGAGAGTTTCGTTTTGAAAATTATTGATAGCTGAAACATCAATCAATTCTAGCTGTCAAGTCAATATCTTTTTCGTTGAAGGGGTGGGTGGGTGGGGGAGGGTCATAACTAAACTTTTTCGTTCCGTGAATATTATCGATAATGCCGGATAGCCCCTTAATATA